AAATGGTGTTACCAGGGATCAAACTCAGGAGGCAAGCACTTATTCCACTGAGCTATCTCCCCAGCCCTGAACTGTATTCTTTACTGAAGTATTCTGTAAGATAAGAAATTAGCAGGAAAAAGTTAATATGCCCCATCTTAGGAAAAAAATAACAAAAATATTTTAAAGATTCTTTAGAATTGAAAGTAAATATTTATCTGAATAATTGATAGGCTTGGTGAACGAGGAATGGTTTGATTTTTCCTTACTGTAGAAAGTACAGAAGATTTAAGAGAATATTATAAATGCAAAAAAAAAAAAAGAACAAAAGAGAAATAACACGTTCGGTATTTAGTAAGGAATCTGGCGTTGTGGTTAACGCTGTGCTTTGGCTGTGCTATTTTAACTGTAGCTGTGGGATGGCAGAAACAGCATAACTGATACTCAGTATGGGTCATCTGGGGTTGGAAGCTTTTTAAGGAATTTCACCAGTTACACTTTGCTCTGAGGAGGCGTTGTGGGTGGAATGAATTTAAGCGAATAACAGTGTTTGTGATATTTTACAAATAAATTGTATAATCTTACTCCAAAACTGTTACATAGGGTGAGAAAACTCTTACACCAGTGGGGAAACTAAGGCATTGGTCATGCTAAATGAGGAAAACTATACAAGTCAGTGATAGAATTGGGGCTAAAACCCAGGTTTCCAGCTAGCAAGCTCTTTATAGTTTCAGACTCCTGGCTTGCTTGTGTTGTCTCTCTCTGTCTCTTATCTCTGACTTTTTTTTTTTATGAGCAGAATATATTTATTGAAAGAAAGCAAGCTCCTGTCCCCAGAGAGGGACAGGAGGGGGACCCGAGCGGATAGTTCCCCCTGAAGTTGTCTCTTCCAGAGACTTATAGAGGAAAAACCATGTGGTGAGGCGGGTCTAAGGTGGTAGAGAAGACATGGGAACTCGCTTAGTTGAGCATGAGGTGGGACAAAACTGTGGTAACAAATGGAGGTTATGAGCAGTATTTATTTATTTATTTATTTATTTATTTATTTTGGTGGAACCGGGGATTGAACTCAGGTCCTTGTGCTTGCCAGGGAAGCGCTTATTCCACTGAGCCATCTCCCCGACCCCAGAATATATTTATTGAGAGAAAGAAAGCTCCTGTCCCAAGACAGTGACAGGAGGGCAGCCTGAGCGGGTAGTTCCCCTCTCTGACTGTCTTCCTCTGTCTGCCTGTCTGTCTGTCTCTTTTCCCCCTTAACATACCGCAGACACCCCAGTTTGCTACTTTGAGGTAGAATGAGAAGTGTAATGAAGCCTTCTTCATTACACTGGGGATCGAACCCCCAGCCCCTGCGTCTGCCTAAGCAGGCGCTTTAATTAGCTGAGCTATTTGGCTGGCCCTTGTTATCTTTGAAAGAAAGGAAATACAGAGCCCGAGCCCTGTGGCTGTCCCAGCTTACTGTCTGAAGCATTTCCAGATGCAGTGTGGGGAGGGAATGTGGAAAGAGCACCCAGCATTCTCACAGGTTTGGGCAACTTAGTTACTTAGCAAGATTCTGCCTCAGATTTTGTAAGAGGGACCTGGGAATGTAGGCTAGTACAAAGACCCTGGGTTCTGTGCTCGCTCAGTACTAGGAGGGGAGAGAAACAGAAGAAGGAAGGGGGAGGGCAGAGGAGGAAGAGGGCACAGTGCACACTGTGTTGCAGTGGTTGAATTACATTCAGCTGTACCAGTGATTGCCTTGTAGGTAAATGGTCAGAACTCTCCAATTAAGAGAGAGGTTAGGGAACGCAGCTCAGTGGGAGAGTGCAAAGCCCCCAGTCCAATCTCCAGCACCAAAAATAGGTAAATGAATAAAATGGAGATGGTCAGATTAGATAGAAATAATCTTTGTTATTTTCCAAGTCATACGCGTATCCCTTTCTCTAGACTTAACTATTATTGTTAAGGAGCAGTATGGTAAGATCTTAAAAAAAAAAAAAAAAAAAAAAAAAAGGAGAAAAGGAAAATCAACTGTTTTCTGTCTTAGCTGTTTCTGGAACTTGCAGATTCTTTGCCAGTTGCTACAAGTCTTTGGGTGGACCGTATGATTTCCAGCAGGCACACTGTGTAATTTTTGTCTTACTTCTGTTCTGTGGTTATGTGCATTTCCATCATGGGGTGTGCTCTAAGGTTAGAACTTGGCTGCAGACCCTGCACCAAGCTGTCAGCTCCTTGGAGCTCTAAGGAGGGACCCTCGTGGATGATTCTGTATGGGTCGCAGTGCCTCCTGCAGGTAGTAAGTCAGAGGGCACCCTTGTTCTAGAGCCAGTTTCATGGAAGTCATTCTCTCTCAAATCCTTCAGGCGCATACATGCTCTCCAGTTTGTTCACAGGGAAGGAAAAGATTTTTCACAGCTTGGGAACACCCTGACCTGCTCTGTTCCTCCTATTGTATCCACTGTGTATGCAGACTGGGCCAAACATGAAAAAATGCGGGGACCATTCGCACCCAGTCCTTGCCCCCAGGAACTTCAGAATCTTATAGAACATTCAGAACTTGTAGGCTTTTTCACAATGTGGAGAAAAATGTTCTAGCAAACAACCTTCAGATTTTCATATTTAGCTATAAATCCAGAGTAGTTCTTTAAAAAGTAGCAATTCCTTTCTTTCTTTCTTTCTTTCTTTCTTTCTTTCTTTCTTTCTTTCTTTCTTTCTTTTTCTCTCTTCTTCTTCTTCCTCCTCCTCCTCCTCCTCCTCCTCCTCCTCCTCCTCCTCCTCCTCTTCCTCCTCCTCTTCTTCTTCACAAGCCAGCATTACTTGTGGAGACAGCTAATAGAGTTAACTAGGGGAGAATTTTTTACCTAGATGTCTGTTTCCTCATCTTTGAAGTAAAGGGTTAGAGCAAGTTGATCTTTAAATCCCTTCTCCGTCTTCCTTCCCTAGTTGTGAGGGCCCACAGTAGAGGACTCCATACTGAGGTTTAGCAGTTGCTGTCCACATAGATCTGTGGCAGTCAGGTGTGTGAAACGCAGGTCTGGTAGGAACTATTGCTTGGAGGCTACCTTAGGGGTCCCATCGTGGTGTGGCTCCAAGCAGCAGAACTTCACACAGGCCATGGCATCGTCTGGGAATCATTTCATTAGCACAGTGGTGCCTCAGCTCATAAACTTAATACTCTCCCTAATTTCACTGAACTGGACAAGAACTGAATCATATTCAGTGGTTTGGTTCAATGTTGACCTTCTCTTGACGTTTATGTATTTATTTTTTAATACTAGGGATTGAACTTTGAGCCTTCACACTGAGCTACATCCTCAGCCCATGTTTTATTTAGTGACAAGAGTCTCACTGAATTGCCCAGGCTGGACTGAGTTTATCATCCTCTTGCTTCCACCTCCCAGTTGGCTGGGATTACAGGCTATGCCATCCTGCCTGTTTTGATATGAAGTTTTAATTTTAGGGGGAAACCTTTACCAGAAGGCCCTGTTATGACTTGTATCTTGATGTCCATCCAGAGCCTCAGGTGGCCATCGGTGGGGAGTATCCAAGGTGACTAGGTTAGGGTGTGTGGACGTTCATTAAAGATGTGATGCTGGGATTAAGGTGTGGATAATGGAAGCCCCGGTCTGGGTGTCCTCAAGTTGACAGTCAGTCAGCCATCACACCTGGATACAGCACAAGGGAAAGGAGCCGGCTGCTGCTGTTGCTTGCTCTCGTGCACAGTTTCTCCTCTGCAAGTGCCCCTTTCCCATGCTGCCCTGCTTTGGAACCAGCCAGCCAAATACTGAAACCTCAATGAACTGTGAGGCGAGATAAACCTTTTCTCCTTTAACGTTAGGTGTCAGGTATTTTGTCTCAGCAGTGAGAAAGGTGACTGAGACAGCCCCCCAGCAAACCTTTCCCAATCCCTGTTAGCCAAGAGTGAGTCACATCCTGATACCTCTTCCAGTCACCTGCTAAGGGACAGGAATTACAGGTAACTTAGACGTTGTCCACATTCACTCCAGGGGTTGGGCTGAGCTGAGCCTTAGCTTGAACCAGTAGGCACCGGGACCCAATGAGGGTCCTGCGAGCGAGCACAGGAGCGTGGGCAGCTGGCTTGACAGAGGTGATGGCAGGCTGTGCCCTGGGTTTGGAGAGTTACTGCATGGGGGAACAATAAGCCAGCCATTTCTGAGAAAGTTTAGTGTTGACTAAGATTGACCTGGCATGATTTTTTAAATAAATATGTGATGAATAATTGATATCCTGGATCCTTTTCTGGAAATGTTAGTGCTTTGTATACAACAGGCTGGCATTTTTGGAGAAAAGTGATTGGATTATTTATTTGCCAGCAATAGCACAGATAATAATTTCCAAGAAGTGTCTTAGTACAATAACTTGTCTAAGCCTCATATGTGTCCTTAAGGCAAGTTCTTTTCCTTTCCCCATTATTTACGTGAAGAAAGTGAGGTTTTGTTAGTTGAGTCACTCACTCGGGGTCAGTACTTAGCGGCAGAGCTGAGCTTAGCCCAGATTTGCTGGTTCTAAAGCATGTGCTTGTCCAAGTCCCTTCAGCTCTGTTCAGATAATCAGTATGAAGTCTCATTTATTTCAAAGAAAGCCATAGTACATAGGTGTGCTTTATGTTTGGCTTTTACAAATGCCACAAACACTGAGAAAAGGGCTTTGTCTACAGTTGAAGAACATATGGTAAAAGCAAATGTTCTCTCCCACTGTCCTGTGCTGGAATGTTAGTAATTATCTTTTTAATGCCGGAAGGACCAGAATCAAATTATGAAATGCTTCAAAGGCTGTGAAACTTACACTGCAGGAGCTACTGTAATGACTTCAGAGGAATTAACTCGGGGTAATCAAAAATGCAGCGAATGCTGCGCCCCATGCCATCCAGAGGAAAGGGAGGCTCATAAAGACGTGACGCTGTGCCCACATCCACCTTATTCCCCGGACCTGGTCCCATGTGATGTCTGTCTCTTTCCCACAGTGAAAGTGACCGTGAAAGGTCAAGCAGTTCAGGATGTAGAGGCAGTAGGGATGCCGCAACTGAAGACACTCAGGAAAGAGGACTTTCAGACCTGTTTCAGAAAGGGGAGAGATTGATGAAATAAATGGGTTGGGCGTGAGGGAGAGTGGGGAGTACTTTGAGGGGGATTAACTATAATAATTAATTTAAACATTATGTGTTTATTGTACTTCATGTAGAATTAGAGATAGATTCTTTACCCTTTTGGATGTCTTAGGTACTTTCCTCATTGCTGGGACAAAATACCCAACACACCCACAAAGCAAAGAAGAAAGGGTTTATTTAGTTGAGTTGGTAGAGGTTTCAGGCCATAGTCTGCTGGCACGCCAGGGGGGCATGGCAGAGGAGAATCAGTCTGTGTGTTGCAGGCAGAAGGCAGGAGGCCTTTCTCCTCCCTTTTATTCCATCTGGGCTAGAAGACTATTGCTTGGAGCCGCCCACACCAAAGGCCGATCTTCCCTCTTCACCAGATCTACCATCCGCATGTAGAACTATGCTAAGCCAGTCAGTGGGACTAATCCAACATCAGACACCCATGATCTCGTCACATTCAAAAGCCCCACCTATGAGGACATGAAGTTTTTTGGGGGGACATCTAAACACAAGCTGTAACAACCCATGTTCTTCAGTATGATTGTTTTTATGGCACTGGGGCTTGAGCCCAGGGGCTTCAGATGAGCTACTTCCCAAGGTCTTGAACTTAGAATCCTAGTGCCTTAGCACTGTCCCTGTCCCTGGCAGTTTTTTTTTTTTTTTATCTTCAATATTTGAGATTTTATTGGTTGTGTTGAGGATCAGTACACATGATTCACTTTGTACACAATTCTTAACACACACACCAAAAAAAAGCCATATATTGTTTTTCAGTTGTTCCAGTGACTTTCCAGCTTCAAATTTAAAGGCAAATTTTCTGTAAGAGGACTAAGTACCAGTATCTTCAAATGCTGACAATGTGTTACTCAAGTCCCACCAATTCACAATTTTGTATCACATACACTACATAATCAAATTTTTGATCTTTCACAGCACATTAACAAAATGAGGCAAACCGGACTACCACTACCAAAGATGTTACAGAGTGCACACGATTCTGACAGGGCAACAATTAGGATGTAGTTTTCTTTAGGAAACAACTCTACCAAAAATGAGAATAGAAGTCATTTAAAGTATCCAAGACATTATTAAATGCAGGACTGTAATTCCAAATTGCCATTTAGTATGCTTTGTATTGCAGGATATAAAACTAACCCCCACCTATGGAATGTTAAGCTGACACCCAAGACAGTCAAAGCCTGCCATAATTCAATATCCCACTATTTCTGGTTGTACCAAAAAATAAACAACCAGAGAATGATTTTACCCTAAAAAAAATCATTTACACTTAAAAAATGCGATGAGGTGGGATTCCCTCCTTTTTAAAAATGTTTCTAGAGCTACTAAAAAACTTGCATTTACAAAATAGTTGATAAAAATATTCCTCTGGATTGTACAAGAAGGGAGACAGGGAGCACTGATAAGACATGGTGTGTGATTAATCAGACTTGGCTTCTTTTTCTTCTGCTTCATCAGAAGCTGCACTCTCCTCATTTTTAGTTTCTCCATTTTCCGCAGGTAAATCTTCCTTGGTTTCTTGATTAGCCACTTCAGCCTGTTTTCCCTTGGCTCCCCTTTTCCCTTTTGCTTGCACTTTTTTGTCCGAAGATTTATCCTTTCCGGCTGCCTTTTTTGGCTTCGTTTCCACTTTAGCTGGAACAGGTTTAGCTGACAATCTCGCCGATCTCCTCTTGGGCTCCTCCTTCACCGCCCCTTCGGCCGAGCTGACCTTCCTCTTGGGCATCTTGGCGGCGCGCGCGGGGCGCGTGCGGAGGCTGCGGGTCGAGGCGCACGGGAGCCTCGCGGACATACGCAGCTCGACCGCTGCCGTTCCTCCCGCCGTCCCTGGCAGTTTTTACAGAGCAATAAATGTATTGCAGGTGGAACTCACTGTTAAACAGTCACTAATGATAACTAAGACATGTCAGATGATTTGTTTCTTGAAATATTTTCAGTAGGTAAGGCCCATTTGTATAGTATTTTAAAGTGTATTTGTGTACAGGATGTTGATAGTAATAATAATTAGTGTGTGTTAAGCACTAACTATAGTTATCAATGGGCATCATCTCATTTAAGTCTGGGAACAATAAAAGGTCCAGATTCTATTAGAGATAAAAGAGGCTGATAAATAAATAAAGAAGCTAATAAAGAAGCACCCACTTTAGAGATAAAGAAGCTGATGTTTAAAGGTTTAAAATACACTCCAGGCCACATGGCAGGCACTGTTCTGTATCAGTGAGGAAAAGCTCACAAATTCTGACTTGGGTTCCGCTCTGCCCACGTTCAAGTGGGTGTGTTATTTTCTAACTCCCTTTCAGACACATCATCTCACAGCTCATACCTCTGGGACTGTCCCTCCCGAGGCAGCGGGGTGCCTGCCCCCACAAGCTCACAGCTTGCACTCGCAAGGAAATGGGTTGTCGGAGCTGCTGGGTGGGACTAGTGTGTTGCTTCTGTCTTATGACTTTAAAGTTGAAAGTTCAAGTAGTACATCATTGGATTTTTCAAATGACAGATCCCTGGATTGGGAGAGAAGCTGGCTTTGGCTTATATTAACTTCCTCTTTTGTTCTTTTTGGGGTTTTTTTTTTGTGTGTGTGGTAATGGGGATTGAACTCCCGTTAGGCTTGCCAGGCAGGCGCTTACACCCTTGAGCTATCCATCCCAACTTCCTCTTTTAATGCCAGCCTTGTTTTGTTATTGTTTGGCTTGTTTGTTCACAGTTTAAGACTCCTCGGTTGGAAGGGACTGAACAGGTCAGGAAGTAGAAACGCCTGTCTGACTGAGGACCCTTGGCCTCAGCCCAGGCCTCTGTCCCTGAGAGCCAGGCATTCACCGTGCCCCAGCAGCCCAGCCTCCCGGTGCACATGCGGATTCACTGTGGCAGCTTCTGGGTCTTTAGCCTCCTCCTCACTGCTGAGGCTTGGAGGAACGTTTTCTCCCTCTTTTTTTGGTCAAGGTTTTTCCTTTATATTTTTACAGACTGTCACCTTATTTTTTTTTTCTCCCCTTGTTCATTTTATTTGAAAACCTGAAGAAAAATTATCTGACATTAGAAATTGAATAAGTAGGCTGGGAGTGTAGCTCAGTGATAGAACATAGCTATAAGGTTCAATCTCCAGCACCAAAGAGAAAAAAAAAAATGCTGAAAATTGGGACATTTCTAAAAAAGGAATAGTATCTTGTTACAGAACTTTCCAACCAAAAAGCATAGAGAATAATGTAGCAAATCCCCAAGTACCAGCTTTAACAGTTTTCAGAGTGTGGCCAATCCTGTCTTAAGTCAATCCTGGACATACTGTTCATAGGAAGTCTTCTCATTCAGAAGAGGAGAGCCTGCTTTGGAAGCGTGGGGTTGCCCTTTTAAGGACTGTGTCTATACCCACTCCTGCAGGGGTCATCAGCTTTTCCAAAGCTCTAATTATACCTCTCTCCTCCAGGGCCCAGTCATATATGCGCAACTAGACCACTCAGGGGGACATCACAGCAACAAGATCAACAAGTCGGAGTCTGTGGTGTATGCAAACATCCGGAAAAATTAAAGAGAAGACCCAGAACATTCCCTAAGCAAGAAAAGCAAACGCAAACTGGACTCTTGTGCAGAAAATGTAGCCCATCATCACATGTGGCCTTGGGGACCAAGGAAGAACAGGCACACGTGTGCTCAGCAAGGGGACAGGGCCGTGTATAAAGGATATGTGTACATGTTCTATTTAATCTTCCCGATGGGAGGATCCAGTGTTTTGTGGTGAAAAGGTGTGATTCTGCATATGCATAAACTGTCTTACTGTTTTTATATGTTCTTTCAGGGTTGTTTGCCAGGGGGAAATTTCAGATGAGATCGGGCACGTTCAGGGTGGTATGGCTGTGGACCGAGGGGGAGATTTCAGAAACATCCCTCTCCCACCGTGTAGCTATCACTTGCCTTGACAGAGAGAGTGGCAGACCTTTTAGTATTTCCAGTAGACATGGCCTTCTCATCAAGGGCTCCACAAGTCTTAGCATTTATCGTGGTGAGAGGATGGACATAGGGGGATGCAAACATAGCCAGCGTGGACTTTCAACACAGTGGCAGACGCATTTGGTTGTAGCTCTTAAACAGGGTCCATGGGCTACACTGCTTAAAGGAGTTTTTTGTTTGTTTGTTTGTTTGTTTGTTTGGGGGCTACTCAGGATGCCTTCAAGGCAGGTCTGGTTTGGCTTGAGGATGAGGGGATTGAACCACAGCATCTTGAGCCTGACTGCTTTGATTCAGCAGGCACTTAAACACCTGAGCTAGTGGGCAGGCCCCCTATGCTGCTTAAAGACAGCCTGGCGAGTTTCTGTTGATATTTTTCTAAAATACAGGGCATTAAAAAAGAAAGAAAGAAAGAAAGAAAGAAAGAAAGAAAGAAAGAAAGAAAGAAAGAAAGAAAGAAAGAAAGAAAGAGAAAAGAGCTTTATCTGGTGTGTAGACTCACTTTAAACATCACATGTCAACATGTGGGTGCATTCCAGTGAAGTTAGCAGGAGGCTGGAGGCCGCTTCCCTCTAGGAGCTTCAGCTCAGTGCCACAGAGGCAAGTAGTATAAAAAGTCCAGCCTTTGCTCGAGTACTACAGCATTTGGAGGGAAAGCTGTCTGTTACTTCCTTAAGGAAGTCCTTCCTGGTATGCCACAGAAGTAGGATGGGGGGCCAGGGAGATGGCTCAGCGGAATAAGCACTTCCTCGGCAAGCACAAGGGTCTGAGTTCAGTCCAATCCCCGGTTCCACCGAAAAGGAAAAAAAAAAGAAGAAGAAGTGGGGTGGTCAGGGACCCCTGGAGTGCTTCCTTGAGAACCACCTCTTTTCCAGAGCTTCAGTCCAACCTCAGAAGGCAGCTTCTGGCCACCACACACGGCTTTTATCACAGCATCCAGATACCTCAGAGATCTGTGAGGTTAAAGGACATCATCACAAATCAAGTAGGGCTAGAACTGCTACTTTGAGAATCTCTTCTCTGTCCTGGTTGGTTTGGGCTTTTTTCTACTGCCCCTCACCCCACTTGGAATTGATAAAATAAGGGAGATAGGAAAACAACAGATCAGTAATTTTCTTCCTAAAACTCATTTCTCCTATTGACTGTCCTCTCCCTCACCTTGAATCTGGGAATGACAAACTTGGTAAAGATCATTAATGTTATTTATATTACTGTTCTTCCATTTTTCTCTGTTGCTTTGTTTTAAAAGAAACTTATCCCGTTAAAACTGCCTGGAAGCTGTGGGTAGGGATGGCTGTGGAGCGAGCTGTGGGGGGCAGCAGTTTCCGCCTGTGCTTGAGTCCACTGGGAGCTGCTTCCTTTTCCCGTCCTGTCTTCTGTCATCACTGGGGAGTACCTCAAGGCTGGAGCCCGTGAGCTTCAAACCCTGCCTGTTGCACACCTGAGATCGATTTTCTGAGGAACCTTTTGTTCCACTGTCCATTCCAAATGTGCAAGTGGGATCGGGTTTTGTCATCTCACTCCTGTGGGCTGAAGCTGGGCATGGTGTGGTTTGTGTCCCTGCTTCCTGGGTACGGCTCAATAGGGGCACAGGATTAACATGGAGCACCCCTCTTTTTTTTTCTTTGGTGGAACCGGGGGTTGAACTCAGGCCTTTGTGCTTGCCAGGTTAAGTGCTTATTCTACTGTGCTATCTCCCCAGCCCTAAGAGTTGGTTGTTATTTTATTTTATTTTTAATAAGAGAAGGGTCTATAGGGTGTTCAGGGTCTCACTAGATTGGACTCGTAGTGATCTGCCTGTTTACAGCCTCCCAAGAGCTGGGATTACAGGTGCGCGCCACCACTTCCATTCTCCAGAGCACCCCTCTTGGGCCACCTCCACACATGGTCCCCTCTGCCTTGCACCCCATACTTTACCACCAGCAGAGTCAGGAGCCATTAGAAGACCTCCTTCATGTACTTAGAGGGGAAGGGAAGCTCGTGGGGTTGTTGCTCTTCCTCAGACTGGAGCCAGGATCACCATACTCTTGCTGGGCCTTTGTCAACAGCTGTTTCAGGTAGGCAGGATGCAAACTTCCCAGAGCCCAAGCTGTGTTCCCACGTGGGACTTACTGGCATCTCCTCATAGCAGTAGGCCTTATTTCTCCTTTAGGTGCTAGTGCCACATGTGTGAAGCTGGCACTGAGTTGGGAGGTACTTCCAGCAACACCCGTGCCTTTCCCCCCTATTTGCCCAGCAGCAGCAGTTCTGGCAGAAGATCCCCTGGGCCTCGGTGACCTCCCCGTGAGGATTGCCAGCTGCCCACACTCCTCAGCATGTCTGAGCAGCTGGTCCAGGCCTCCCTCCCTCACACATGCCATCTCTGGCAGAGGTTCTGGCCCTTTCTTGTGCTGCAGTGTCCCTGTGCCTGGCTGCAAGCCACAGTGGGGTCACAACCCAATAGCAAGCCCACCCTTCCTATGCCTTAGAACTTCTTAAAATTATGTGTGAATTTTGTGAAGGGCTAACTTAGAGGTTAAAACACCTGTCTAGTTTTTCCATGAACATGTATCCTGCTGGGGGGAACCATCGCATTCATAGTTATTTTTTATCTTTTTCTTTTTTCAATTGTATTTTTGTGAATATTTTAGTAGATCTTTTTCAATTTCTAAATGGTGTCATGTGTTCATTTTTTATTAAATAAAGAAGATAAAGCCTTTCTCACTCATGCCACCCCAGCCTTCTTATTCTTAAAATATACCACACGTGCCGGCCACTGGGACTTTGCACTACCATTGCTTGCCTGCCTCTCACCTTCTGCAGATAGTTGTGTGCCTAGTTCTCTCCCCTCCTAGTCTCTATCCAAATGCCACCTTCCCACAAAGGGACCTTCTCTGGTGCATTAAAGGACAGCCTTACCCCCATCCAGGCACTTCTGACCTTGGTTCTGCTCTATATTCTTCCTCTGGCCAACTATAATTATGTATTTGCTGATCTGTTCTCCCAACTAAAACGTGCACAAGAAGCCAGGACATTGGTGTTTTATTCATTATTCTGCCCATAGTGTGCAGAACAGTAACGAGTACTTTGCAGCTGCTTAATATATGATGGATGGGTGGGGGGGGTGGGTGGATGGATAGATAGGTGGATGCATGGATGGATGGATGGATGGATGGATGGATGGATGGATGGATGGATGGATGGATGGATGGATGGATAGATGGATGGATGGATGGATGGATGGATGGATGGATGGATGGATGGATAGGTGGATGGATGGATGTAAGTATCCATTGATCTCAGTGTGATCCATTCTACCTGGGGAGAAACGGCGGTAGGAATGAGGAAAAGATGAGCTCGGTTAGGTGGTGACTCATCTGCCTGGTTGGCAAGACGACCCTCTAAGCAACAAAATGGACATTTATACCTTTGCAAAGTTAGTAACACCTGATGCAAGGTTGCCTAGTAACCAGTAACTGACATTAACCAGTCAGGCTGCATATCTCAGGACTGAGGTAGTTTGTTTGCTTTAGACACTGAGGCCTAGTCCCACTTACATTTGACCAATTTTCCTGCTTCCATGGTTTCCAGCGTATCCCCCTTTTTGTTGTGTTGTGTCAGAGATACGTAATCTATTGCAGTTAGAGAAGCGTGTGTTTGGAAAATTCTTTACAGGACATTTTCATACTTGATGCCAGTCCAAAGATGTTAGGTACTTGAGTCAAGCAATGTAACCCTATATAGTTCAATAGTCCATAATAGTACTGAGTTATCAGTACTGCTAGTAATTGTCAGAAATTGTTAGTGACTTCAGTCTTTTACAGTTATTGTATTAATACACCATTACTCTTCACATCCTGTGGTTACACTTTTCTGCTGGATGGTTAAGACCAAGTTAAAGCAGCTAAATCTCCTCAGGATCTACCTGGGAACCCTGTACAGCACTTCTTAGATCTTCTGTCAGTGTCTGCCATCCAGATGAGTCTTGATCATTGCTTGACCAATTTGCTTTTTGTGAAAGCCTGAGAGAATTTTTCTTCCTAAGCAACCCTCCTTAAGCACACAATACATCATCAGTCACTTTCCTCTGTGGCCCCATCATCTTGATCAGAAAATTTGGGACACAACTGAGCTACAGGATGTCACAGCAGAGGTTCTCTTATGTCCTGAGTCCTCTTTGACTTTGAATGGCTATCCTTTTAGCCCATCTACCTCTCTAATTTTTGGTCTTCAAGCTTTAGTTGTTAAACATTCATAAGAAAAGGTTAATGATACTACTGTGTAGCGGAGGCAGTGATCTTAACATTATCATCTATCTGAATATAAACACCTTAGACAAAATGGAACTGTTATTTTCTAACATCCATGGTTATTCTAATATTTAAATCTCTATAAAATGTTAAAAGACAATTACATATTTTTACACAGAAATTTAAAAATCAAAATCATATGCAACACTGTAGCACGAACAACCCTAATGACATTTTGTGACATAAATTTTGGCATAACACTTGACCAGTCATCTCTATCTAATACACAAGAAAATTTTACCTAGTCATTGTTAAATGATATATATCGCAAGTTCTTTGTCAGAGGCAGAGGTCTGAATCTGAGAGAAAGTCTTATGATAAGCAATTTTTGTTTTTACATTTTGGAAGACCTGTACACCTAGAATCATGAATACACTTAATATAGCATAAGATTAACAATAATGAAATACTATAGACATGTGAAAACCTTTCTTTCTTAATTTTTATACCAAAGCTATTTTTAAAGAGAAATCCTTATCGTAATTTTTTTCTAAAAAATTTTTATCTTTTAACCAGTGGCCATTTTATCAAAGGTGTTTCCTAAGAGACTATTGAGATTATTGGGAGATCCTCATTAGTGAGCAAAAAGGTTAGTCACAACTCATTTATCAATTGGACTCCTTTCTAATAATTTCTCCCCACTCCAAGGAATTTTTGCTTAGTGAGCTTAAACTTTTTGATAAACTGTGTATAAACTGATTTTGTTATCACTTAGACCAGCTGATAACTTAGGAGAAAGCATGCTTTTAAGTCTGTATCTGTAACTGTATTGTGAACAAACAATCAAAAAAGAAAAAAGGAACAACTATTCACAGAATGACATACACATAAATACAATGGACAAGCAAACATCTTTACAAAGTAAACCATGCACTCAAATATAATCTTGACCGAATTAAATTATAGTAGCTATTAAAATTTTTGAAATTTGGGCTGGGGAGATGGCAAGCACAAGGGCCTGAG